TTCTGCAATCAATTACATTAATTGGGTGCAGCCAATCCAGTCAGAATCAGTTGGGTTTCTTGCAGGACTGAGCCTAGTACTGTTTGTAGAATCAAAATTTAACTCAGCCAGAAAAAAAAAGAAAAAAAATCAGGATCTAAACAAGGTTTTCATTCTAATCACGTTAAAAAAAAATATAAATGTTTTCCAAAATAGAAATGTCCGACTTATATTTAAATTTTTTTTAAAACAGTTTATCATTCAGTCGTTTTGGAAAACAGGAGGAGGAAACTTTTGTTAGAAGAACCTTGGAACGGCAGAACAATTATTATGACATCCAAATATAAAATCATATGGAACCTTAGTTTTGAAATCTCAATTTCGAACAGAACAGAGATCTTGCCAAAACTTCTTACACCACAACAGACACAAATACAGACATCAGAAAGATTGATGGTTGGTATAAATTTAAATTGCACGAAAGCTAGGCATGAGTATGCAAGAAGTTTTAATATTATGTACATGTACTCAATGTTAGGGAATCAAAGGGTGTAATAAACCATGTCTGACGTAAAAAGATAAGGAAATAGGAACAAAAAAAGGAGCAAAAATCATTCTATATTTATCTAAAAAAGAAAAGCCCCTTACAAGCCTTTAGTACAAACCAGCATAAAAACCATTTTCCTCCCCTAAAAATGATTTTTCTACCCCCTCCTCCCTCTAAGTCCTGTATCGAATCTTAAACTTAATTGAGTAATTCTGGTTTTTCCTTCCTTTTAACCTTCGTATACTTATTTAAAAAAAAAAATCTTTAAGAAATAAAAAAAAATTTACTACTCTTTCCCGCTCGGGTGTGCTTCTCTAGAAAAATTTTTAATTTGACACTCCTTTGAATTTCATCACTCCTAACGAGTTTTATTTTTGCTGTTATTTCTTTTTGAACAATTAAAATTGCTTACAACATAGATATAGATTTGAGAAAAATATTTAAGATTGCAAATTTCATTAACAATATTTATAAAAAAAAAAAAAAAAAAAAAAAAAAAAAAAAAAAAAAAAAAAAANAAAAAAAAAACATAGGTAAAATACTTTCGAAGATAATTTGAATTATATGCCCACTTAACAAGAAATGAGATACCTTCTAAGTAGAGAAAAAATTTTGTAGGATAAGACACGTACGCGTTATCACACCTTGAAGCTTGAAGATCTTTTTTGTGTGAGGGGTGGAGAACAACAGAAAAGTGCGAAATCATCAAATATTCAGTGAGGTGGGAAAGATGAAAGAACTTGGTCAGCGTGGGACATGCCTCAATATTTTCCCTTCAGATCTTTTTTTCTCCCCTTCTTCTTTTCATAATATAAGAGGGAGGGTATGGGTAAAGCTGTTGCCAGAATAATGTGGGAAGAGAAGGGATTCACGGGGATCAGAATTTTCGAGATCATTACATGGTAATGTGGTCAGGAAAAAGTTTTGATTTATTTAGGGAATTTTTTTCCCACCCTTCTTTTGTTCCTTCATGTTTTACTCCACTGTACCATAAAAATTATTTTTGTAGTTCTTTTTTTTCTGATTTTTTTTGTTGCGCATTAATAGCTTGTTAGCAAGACATTGTCAAAATTGTATCAGCTTCCTTTGAATTAATATATAACGTAAACTTTAGAGCCATGCAAATCTTATGAATAACACTGGGGAGCAAAATTTTTGTTGCTTTTATGGAAATAATTGATATTGCCTAATTCAGGTGTGGGGATATCAAATTTGCAATCGGTTTCTATTTCCAAGCTACAGTTTTTTAAAAATGACATTTTTAGTCTATTTTTTTGTCGAAATATACAAGTTTAAAAATGCTTGCTATAATTATAAACTATTTCTACACATGAACAATTCATAATAGGGAATCATACCTAGCAGGTACAAAGACATTTCCGGGCATGAGTTTCTATGCAATTTTAATCCTGAAAATGTCCATAAACTCCTCCAGAATTTTTTTGCAACATTTACACGACCCCTTCTTACATATAACATTTTTAAACATGCACATCTCGGCAAAAAAAAAAAAAAAAATAGACTAATAATGCCATTTAAAAAAAAAAACTGTAGTTTGGAGCGAGAAACCAATTGCAGATTTGAAATCAACGGTACGAAAGTTCTGTTAAGTATATCTATTGATAGATCCGTTAAAAAATCACACGCGGGAAAAAAATGTTCTCCATTTTGCTCCCACTATAAACTGTATAGGTTCAATTAATGAAATAAAAATTTCTTTAACCAGTACTAACTAACCAGTAATTTTAACCAGTATAGCAAACCTTTCAGTTTTTCGGAGAATTGCATCTAGTAATGAAATCTTTATTTCATTTAAGAAAAAGCATATTTGATTGCATACATTAGCATACCATATAGATCAGAATTTTGTCTCAATTCTTGTCAAAGTTCTTTAAACCATTCGGGGCAGTCCTTAATTTGGAATCTAATGTTATTCAAATAGCAGTGAATTTACCTACCACAGATGTTTAGATGTCCGTTGTATTGTCCTTAGGCATTTTAATAAGGTCGCAGTCTAGACTTCGTAGCGGCTAAATTATAATTTGATTTCAAGTACATTTTATATATTAGAATGTTTCAGTGCTTTAAGTCCTAGAGATACTTTTACCTCTTTATAGAAATTATGAAATTAATTAAAGTAGAGATACAATATATTACATTAAAGTGCCGCCTTTCCCAAGCTTTTGATGAAGAAGTGTATAAATGAAAAAAAAAAAATTTAAGAAGGAGGTCGATTTAAATTAAAGCGCAGGAGAGATATAAAATAAACTAGCTTTCCCGTTAGGTATAAAAAATAATTTCTCAAAAATCCCTACACGGTTTTTACAAAAGGATATATTTAACTTTAAAACATACTTCTCACAAGACGAAAATGTAAACAAATAATTTAATTAAATAGTTGAGTTATAATTTATATAATTTCACTAATAGTTAGTGACCCCTCATGTTAAAGTGATTAGTGCATGGTTAGTATTTTAAGCAACAAAAAGTAACCCAAGTAGGAGATATAGCAACAAACAGCCAATAATAGCTACAGCAACTACTGTAGTTTTAGCAAAACATTATTTTTAATAACACTACATTATTGAAATTAATATCTTTATAAATAGCATCACGTATTGACGTATATATAGCCTTTAAACAAAGCAGAAGAAAGGCTAAACATTGAAGAACTTTTGACGCAAAAATGCTAACAGAAGTAAAATAAATGAAAATTAAATAAAATGTATCACTAGTTAACTATTACGAAATCCAAACGCAAGCAACGTAGACTTAACTGAAAAGAAAATAAGTTCCTTATCAAAACTGATTAGACGCCATTATTAGTCATATTTAATAGGAAATATTACTCGTAATTTACACATTTCAGATTGAAACCAGGAAGAGGTTGGTTTTCTGTCAGACATTTAAGTGTCACTTCCAATTTACAATGTATGAAAATATTTCTCACAAATATTTACGATGTAAGAGGAAATAACAGGAAGATGAAAATGCGGTCAAGAGTGGGCTTAAAAAAATTATCGTGGTCAATTCACATTTCCTGTGCGCAGAGCATGCCAGTCAATGATAAAAACACAAACCGGAAGGAAAGTATGCACATAAATTGTGTTTTATACACAGAAACTGCATAAGATCATAACAGAAGCTGATCATTATTTTTTTATATTTTTAGACCGCAACATTTTAAGAGGAAAACAATATCACAAAGACATTAAATTCAAAATCTATGACGCTGTTATTCAATTTAGATTTTAAAAAATATTATAGTATTAATGAGAGTATGTGTAATAATTGCGCAAAAAAAAAAGGGGGGGGTAATTTTTGAGTTTGTACTTCTTGCTCCTAAGCCTTTTTTCATGCATCTCTTGTCTTCTTTCGGCATGCTTAATGACTAACATGAACAATTTTATTATAAAATGATCTACTTATGTCAGGTTTGTTTATATAAAAGCGAGCCAGCAATAATATTTGTCAAAAGAAAAGTGTCTTTTTTGATAATTGGATGCTAGTTACTTGAGAAGAATACTGCTTACACCACCTGGTTGTTCAATCAAGTGGTTGTGAATGGCGTGTTAACGTCACAGCAGTTAGTTTTAGTCTATTACCATGCTGAATCGATTTTCAGATGAGATTTAGTTGGATATCTGCAAGCGACGTCACTCGTGTGTGTTAAATCTGATTGACTGCTGAATCGTGCCATAAACGAATACCATGATTTATCCCCGCAAATATCCAATAATATAACCAACTACTGAAGGTGGCAAAAGTACTAAAAAAAAAAAAAAATTTGTCTCCTAATGTAGTTAAAAATTAGTTTATTAGCTAGCATTAACAAAAAATTGAATATTTAAAAATAAGATTATTTTCATCGCACCCACATTTATTTAGCAACGGGTTATGATTTCTGAACGTCGTTTTAAGTTATTAGGGGTCGGTCTGGGTTTTTCCGAGAGGTACCTACTTTGTGAAAATATAGACATAATTTGTGAAAATTAAAAATTATATTAAAAAATCAACACAAAAATATGGATTTATCGTTTCTTACGAGACACAAAAATAAAATTTTAAGAAAAAGTATTTTGTGAAACTACCGTTTTACCTAAGGTTGAACTTGTGAAGGTACGCTAAATGGTAGTAAATTTGGCTTGGACAGACCCCTGGTTATAAAAGTGAATTGAGCAAGAATTAAAGTTGACTATTGAGAATATGGTTCGAACGCATTATTTGAATAATAAAATAATGTAATCCAGATCCACACGAACCAGTGAAGCAAATAAATATGAATAACGTCACTTCCAAACACCAGAAATTTAGGGCTATATAATATAATTGTTATTCCGAAGTGGGGAATTTAGCACATATTTCTTAATATGATTTCCCAGCACCAAAAGTTTATTAAAAATAACATAGGAACTATTAAAACTTCTGTAAACTAATGTCACTTTTTTTTTAAAATAAGAAACTTGTCACTTACTGTCCAAGATAGACGCCATTCCAGCACTGACCTTCTTCTCTGACGGCCCACGTTTCATCACTGCACACAGCATCAGCCAGATTGGCATAATGTCCTTTAGTTTCAGACAGTCTTTGAACTATTTGTTGGAGACGCCTGTATAAGCTGTCATCAGCCGATCGAACAGGAACTATCCTTCCCGGAATAGATCCGGGAGTGAGATCACTAGGTTCAGTAATATCTCTCGTGGCGCGTCTGGGATGGCCACAAGCAACTTTAACCTGTAACAAATAATATAAATTATAAATGTAATTTCTTACTGAAGGATGATCTTTCTAAGAAAAAAAAACAAATTTTTATATAAAAAGATTATTAAAATACAGTGAAATCTGTAATATTAGACCACTTGCAGTACAAAAAAACTGATGGTTCACTTAGATGGATGATCAGCTTATTATGAGGTAATCAGTCATTATCATTACATTGGTGATACATTATGGTGACCACCTTGAAAGACAGACAGGTATATACAGGTGATCAACTTAGCAGGTTTTACTATTCGTAGACACTTAAATATCATTTGTCCCAAGCACTCATAATAAAAACTGTCAGCAGATGGTGCTGCGAGCGCAAGGAAAAAAATAAGAACTTTTTTCCTCCTCAAAACTTTTTAAGTTAATTGGAACGGAGACTAAGATGTGGCTTGTCGCAATTAACTGTTAATAGCATTCATCACTATGTAAATAAACGAAATTTATGTTATGATCTTTTATACATTGTAGAACGTTTACTCGTATTTAATGGGATATTTAAGGAATACCTTAAACTTCATCTCAACACTTTTTAGCTGAAAGCAAAGACAGCAGTTCATAGAAAAGGTAAGTGGAACTTAACCTTACTTTTATTTTGAATTGATATTAAGAAACAAGAAATTGAACATCATTGTTTCTATTCTAAATTAAGGCAAACAATATTTCTAGAGAAGTTCAAAGTTTTTTTTTTCTTCTTTTTTTTTAATTATAAAATTAATGTTTTTGCCATGATAAAATTCTTAAAATATCAGGATAAAACATTCTTATTATCTTAGCCTGATACTCTTTATTTAGAAAATATCGTCGTATTCTTTCACAAAAAAAAAACCCTTCAAGAACAAACAGGTAGCAAGAGTAGAGGAAGTTAAGCATTTAGGAAATATCTTTACATCATCACCAAAACTTAAATACTCCGTCATAAACACGCAATAGAAAAGAGCCGTCGGTAGCTAAAATAAAATGCAGTATGAACAATTGAAAACGCGCTAGTTAAGAGACTGTCACCACCTTCGGTATAAAAGGCCGCACATCTGATATCAATAATATAAACACGTGCCCCTGTGAGAGAGGCATCGCGTTTAAAAAAGTGAGATTCATAACTGTCTAATTGGACAACCAACCCTTGACCCTAGACATCAACAAGGCATCACTCAACGCAACTTTCTCTAGAGTTTATCTTCTTTTTTTAACACATATAAGTGTCTGAAACAACTTATCCATTGAGATATCTCAGAAGAGGATCGGAGCTTCAAAAGATATGAAAAGCATTCACTACTGCTATTGCTGTTTTTAACACATTTAAGTGTCTGTGCTCTTTTAAGCTACCTTGACTACTACGCTTGCGTATTCAGAAGCCGCGGACTTCAAAAGATCTTTTCTCTTTGATGTCTGCAATCGGAAAACATCGCAAAGTCAGCCGCAAAAAATTAACATGGCACTTGCAATTTCGGAAGTCATTTAACATTTCCGACACATTAATAGTTCAGATTTTAAAGACTCTGCCGTTATAGGAAATTTTGCGATTTTCATAATTGGATACTTGCAAGTGACGTAACACGTGGGCAAATCGTGGTATTTGTTTAGGTCACAATCAGTTGATCAAATTTTTTATTTTTATTTTAAACAACTAATTCTCAATTAGCTCATAAGATTATAACAACTGCATTTTTCGTCTGCCAGAATTAAATTCTAATTTGGAACTCATTTTGAAAACACTTTCTTGATTCTAACAGGAAACTCCAAAAGAGATATGTTTTAACGAATTAAATGGAATTTTAATGAATCGATTTCTCGAGTTTAATTTATTTTGAAAATTAACTATTCCTGAGTTACTGTTATACGAATATTTTTCTCATAATCATAAAATATATGTGCATAATTTAAAGAGAATTTTTAAAATTTGAATATGGTTCCGTTAGGAAAATATGAAATATTAAATCAGAGCAAAGAAACAACTTTTTCTAAGTATCAAGCTAAATGTAAGATGTTCTAAATTTACCGCTTTAATATGTACAAGTTTGTCCATGGTTAGTAAAAGCTGTACTGCAATATTCAGTTGGTGATCGGAATGCAGGTCATGGCGAGGATGAAGGTCAAAAGTAAAATTTCTGAATAACTTAAAATTGCTCGAAGAAAACTCGTAGTTTATAAGTATTTAAAAATACTGTTAAGATTGCACTAACTGGCAATCTTTAAGTATTTACAAAGCTGAAAAAAGTAAACACTCTTTAAGAAGCTTTAGAAAGTCTGTGTTTTGGTGGAATATTAAAACGCCAAAAATGCGAACGCTATGACGCGATCAGTTTAAAATGAGTGTCAGTGATTTATAACAACTAGAAGCTTTTGGTTAAGAAACAAAGGCAAGAGCATAATCCTTATTTCTTATTATCAAAGCACGAACTTTAAAGTTAATTCACTCAACTTCACTATTAGGTCACCTTCATTCATCAAACTCTTGAATTAAAACATAAAAACCTTCGTAAAGAAAATTATTACTGGAAAAACCATGAAACCATAATTATTAATATTATGTATTTTTTTAATGGTAAACCAGCTTTTTGTAATCAGAGAGAGATAAATTTTTCTCTCTTTTTGATCCCATTCTAGATCATTGCTAACATCTCTGTCATCTTCATCCACCAAAACTCGCCAATTAAAACATGAAAACTTTCGTAAAGAAAATTACTACTGGAAAAACCAAGAAACCATAATAATTAATATTATGTTTGTTTTTTTTAAATGGTAAACGAGCTTTTTGTAGTCAGAGAGAGATAATTTTTTTTTTCTTTTTGATCCCATTCTAGATCATTGCTAACATCTCTGTCACCTTCATCCACCAATTAGGTCACCTTCATCCACCAAACTCGCCAATTAAAACATGAAAACTTACGTAAAGAAAATTACTACTGGAAAAAACAAGAAATCATAATTATTAATATTATGTATTTTTTTATGGTAAACCAGCTTTTTGTAGTCAGACAGAGATAATTTTTTTTTTTCATTTTGATCCCATTCTAGATCACTGCTAACAATTTTAAAGACATTTTCGTAAAAACCTTCGATCCAAAATAAAAATGGTGTCAGAAAGATTTATAAAAAAACTGGCTGATAGGGAGATGAAAAATGTCTTTTTATGTTTCCGGTTTTCATCCCCTTTTCACATTCGATATCTTAAATCTCTTCTGCAATTTCAGGAAGTCATCGCTGCATGCGACACATATATCGACTATTCACAAATCTCACAGACCCTGAAAATTACTCAGAGAAAGGATTTCAGGAATGAAAAGGGGGGGAACACTTGAGAGAAAGAATAGATTTATTGAAGAAATCGGAAAATTTTTATCCATACTTCTCAGAAATAAAAACGGAATTTTTTACGACCGAATATATCTTTCCTAAAATGGTAATCCAGAGAATATACAATTACTCAAAATAATAGATATCGAGAGGCAGACTTGGAGTATTATTATAAAAAGTTGATTTGTTTTTAAGTTTCCTACAGGGCATTAAACATAATTATAATATTAATAACGGTACATTTCGCGCATAAGTCAATTACCTCGTAAATCACTACCAGTGCTACAAGATTGCAAGAAGTGCAAAGGAGGGCACAAAGAAGAATTTGAATCACATAGCAAGGCATAGTTCGGAACTATTTCTACACGAACTACAATTTGATGAATCGAAGGCTGAAATACAGAGCTGAACAGAAGCTGAAATACATTAGTGCAAGAGAAATTTTTTTTACTGACATTTTTTACATTAGCTAGCAGCTACATGTTTTGGAAGGTTAGCAAAATGTCGACCAGAATCTGCGATGCTAAATTATGCTTTTCACGCTCTGGAAGATATCTAGGGTGTCTCTACGGTGACATGATTCGTGCATATATAGCATGCATGTAGTTAGCAGCTACATGCTATGGAAGATAAGGTAAAATTCCGACCAAAATCAGCGACACTGAACGGAGCTTTTGACGTTTCGGAAGATTTTTGGTGCCTCGCAGTTGCAGAGAAAACTTAATTGCATCAACTCGGCATCGTTCTGTCTTCATTTGACTGTAGCAGAAAAAAGTTCAGTCATGAACAAGGTCGTCGATCTAACAGACCACTGAACCAAACAACTAAAACCCTCATCCGCCCGACGCAGGAATATCGGATTCTGCAATACAATATAATTCTGATTCGTCTTGGTTTCCCATCATACACTTCTTGCAAGTTTGCCGCATTGGCTGCGAAACGCCATGAACTTACGTAGCAATAGTCACTTGTAAGTTCATCTACGTCTTACAGCAGGATACTTTTTCTTGCCACTTCTTAAGAACCGAAATATGTGAGGAGTTCGTTTTTTAAGGAAAGAAAATGTAAGTACCACGCTAATGATTTTATACCAAGCATCAGAAAAAGAACAGATTTATTTCCCGCTAATTTTACATTTACAGTTGATTTTTGTAAATTCAAGGAGGGGATGGATTTAGTGGAAGGTTCGTATTTGACTATCGCATTCTATGAAAAGAACATAAAGAAACCCGAATTTTATTTGATCCGAGCAAAACTTTTTTTTCTTTCAATTTGTTAACAGCATAATCAATAACGTTCAAATCATCTTAGATGTATTTTAAAATCAAAAACAGTGACAAAATTAATTCGCAATTTTTGCCAAGCAAAAAAATCATTACTAGGCTTGAGTAGAAACAGATAACTGACGCACAGAAAAACTTAATACGCATTTCCTATGTCAACCACTTTTAATTATTATTCATACATCTAACTATAAATTCACCAAAATATTTTTCAGGTTTCAACGTCACTTCAGAGTCAATTAAGGAGGTTCAAGAATACTTTTCTTATCAAATAATAATGGCTCACGTACGATATTATCACGCGAGATAAATGTCAGTAGGCATAGTATTTTCCAACTGAAGCTGCCAATTCATATATCTTGACCTCCGTTATAATGAATGTTAAACACG